ATCCCAAATCTGCCCTCTTGATCCCAAATCTGCCCTCTTGATCCCAGAACTGCCCCCTTGATCCCAAATCTGCCCTCTTGATCCCAAATCTGCCCCCTTGATCCCAAATCTGCCCTCTGGATCCCACATCTGCCCTCTTGATCCCAAATCTGCCCCCTTGATCCCAAAACTGCCCTCTTGATCCCAAAACTGCCCCCTTGATCCCAAAACTGCCCTCTGGATCCCAGAACTGCCCCCTTGATCCCAGAACTGCTCCCTTGATCCCAGAACTGCCCTGTTGATCCTGGAAGCTCCAGTTTCTACCTGAGATTTGTCTTCTTGATGCTCTGTGCAATTTTCAGGAGAAATGTGGTACTGGAACACTGGGAATGTGCAGGGGAAAATTTGGGAGCTCCAGTTTTTATCTGGGATTGGTCTTCTTGATGTTCAGTGCAATTTCCAGGAGCTCTGTGGATCTGGAGCACTGGGAATGTGCAGCTAGAAAATCTGGAAGTTTCAGTTTCTGATCTGAGATTGCTCCACTCAATGCCCTGTGCAATTTCCAGGAGAAATTTGGTGCTGGAGTATTGGAATGTGCAGTTGGAAGGTTTTGAAACTCCAGTTTCTGTCTGAGATTGGGTTTATTGATTCCCTGTGTAATTCCCAGGAGCTCTGTGACATTGGGGCACTGAGAATGTGCAGCTGGAAAATCTGGAATTTTCAGTTTCTGATCTGAGATTGCTGCACTCAATATCCTGTGCAATATCCAGGAAAAATGCAGTGCTGGAGCACTGAGAATTTGCAGCTGGAAAGTTTGGGTATCCCAGTTTCTCTCTGAGATTGGCTTTATTGATTCCCTGTGTAATTTCCAGCAGCTCTGTGGCACTGCAGCACTGGGCTGGAAGTTTCAGTTTCTACCTGAGATTGCTGCACTCAATATCCTGTGCCATTTGCAGGAAAATGTGGGTCTGGAGCATTGGAATGTGCAGCTAGAAAATCTGGAAGTTTCAGTTTCTATCTGAGATTGCTGCACTCAATGCCCTGTGCCATTTCCAGGAAAAATGCTGTGCTGGAGCACTGGGATGTGCAGCTGGAAGGTTTTGAAACTCCAGTTTCTGTCTGAGATTGGGTTTATTGATTCCCTCTGTAATTNTAATTTGGGGTGAATGGAGACATTCCCAGAAAATCCAGCACAATTATATCACCCAAACGCTGATTTTCTGGTAATTTGGGGTGAATGGAGACATTCCCAGAAAATCCAGCACAATTATAACACCCAAACGCTGATTGTCTGGTAATTTGGGGTGAATGGAGACATTCCCAGAAAATCCAGCACAATTATAACACCCAAACGCTGATTGTCTGGTAATTTGGGGTGAAAAGCCCTTTATTGCCAAATGAAAGGGTTTTTGGAGGAGATCATCCAGAAATCATTTTCCATCCCAGATAAATGGGATTAGAGCTGATGCTTATCCAGGTGCAGGAATTTGGGATGGGAGGGAATTATGGAATAGTTTTGGGTTAGAAGGGACCTTAAAGATCATCCAGTGCCAGGCAGGGACATCTCCCCCTGTCCAATGCCAGGAGCTTGGAGCTTGTGCTCCAAGCCCTGCCCAGTGCCAGATAAATGGGATTAGAGGTGATGCTTGTCTATCCAGCTGCAGGAATTTGGGATGGGAGGGAATTATGGAATAGTTTTGGGTTGGAAGGGACCTTAAAGATCACCCAGTGCCAGGCAGGGACACCTCCCCTGTCCCAGTGTGCTCCAAGCCCTGTCCAATGCCAGATAAATGGGATTAGAGGGTGATGCTTGTCCTTATCCAGGTGCAAGAATTTGGGATGGGAGGGAATTATGGAATGATTTGGGTTGGAATGGACCTCAAATATCACCCAGTGCCATGGCAGAGACACCTCCCCTGTCCCAGTGTGCTCCCCAATTCCAGATAAATGGCATTAGAGGTGATGCTTGTCTTTGTCCAGCTGTAGAATTTGGGATGGGAGGGAATCCTGGAATGATTTGGGTTGGAATGGATCTCAAA